ACCCTATTTGGGAGGCTAAACTAGCGGCACATATTTGAGTCTGAGTGTGTCCATTACTTTGGGCAATATCAAACTGCCGAAACGGCGTTATTTTTAGCAGACAAAATATTACAAATTTTTTGCAGGTCATATACAGAGCAATTTCATGGACCCGTACGTGCTCATTACTCAGACATGCGGAAGTAAGGAACATATGGCTTATGGGTGCAACCGTCGGGAGACGGTAGCACGGGCGGATACCTACAACCGGTTTGGATGACGGTCCAATAATATGATATGTGTATAGGCATCTAGTCTTATTTTGTGCCGGTTGTGGCCTTGTTCATCTTTTTTTAACTCCATTCGAGATTTTGTACCGTACCTCATCCTTGTTTGAGACTTCGTTTAATAATATGGTTGCATGCAGAGGCCGGAGGCTATCCTCCTTTTTTAAAAAAAAAGTGCTAATACACTAACATTATCTGATGATTTTATGAATACATTTTCCCCTAAAAAACATTATCTGATGATCTGTGATGGAGCAAATTATTGAGACACAGAATCAAGACGACATCTCTCTCTTTCCTAAAATAAACGACATCTCTCTCAGTATTTATTTCCTTGTATTTTTTTCGTCTTGGATTGAGAAATAGAAAAATAACACAAAGGTGGTATTTTCATAGTTAATTATTCTCTTCTAGATATGGAGATCGAAATACCATTGCCAAGCGCAGTGGTTGAGTGGTTGGAATTCCTGAGATGGAGGATTGAAGCGGTCGTACGTACGTGCACCGCTGACATATTTTATTTCAAATGAAAAGATTGTGTTGGGACGCATAAGAGCATCCGATTGAGATCACGCCATACACGGCCATCTTTATCTTTGAGCATATTGTAAATGTGTAATTATGAGCTTGGATTGAAGGGCATCATTTGTTTCCCGTTGACATGTCCTGGATAATAGTAAGGATCTTGTTTAGCGAGGGTACTCACTAAATTCCTAGAAGCTACTTTCATCCTGGGTCATAATCCTCTCCACGAGCACCGATACTGTAAAAATAAAGTTCAGAGAAACCAGATGTTACAACGCTGGAAGTAGTGGAGTAGCCTGGATCACCGATACGGCGCAGCGGCCGCTCCTACCTTGCACCCAGCGTGCTAGGGTTTCTCTGCTCCCGCGGGCGTCGTCGTCGGTCTACCTCGTCTCATGTGGTCTTAAGACCATTGAGACGCGGTGGATCTCGGCCCTTGCCGGCGGGAGGGCTTCGTTTTCTGTTTTGACTTTTGATAGGGTTTCTGTCCTGCTCAGAAATGTGATGCGGCGACGACTCTCTGTAAATGGAATAAGGTCTCCCCGCCTAGCCCCCTTTCCGGTGACATTTCTAGCATTGTTGGAGGGCGTGTAGAGCTTTGTCTTCGTCGGATTTCGTGGGATTTGGTCGGCGTTTGTCTTCGATGGATCCATGTGGATCCGGTCTTCGCTCGTTTGTGTTCGTGTGTCTAGAGGTTGGGTCCTTCCGATCTATGTTTTTCTTCATTGGCGGCGGTTGCTGTTCCGGTGCGTTGGTCCTATGAGACTTAGAGCATCTACAGCCG